ATTATGAGCTTGAAAAGGACAAAATCAACAATTTCCTGCTACGTCGAGAAGTGGAATGGGAATTTATCCCACCGAGATCACTGAACTTCGGAGGATTGTGGGAGGCTGGAGTAAAGGTGGTAAAGTTGCATTTGGCAAAAACTCTGGGAAACGTCACTTTGACCTTCGAAGAATTGTATACAGTGCTGACTAGCATAGAATCGATTGTAAACTCCCGGCCGTTGTATGCTTCGTCAGATGACCCGAACGAGCCACAACCGATATCTCCGGCTCATCTCATGCTTCGAGGACCACTGGAACCGATACTCAAACCATCATACGAGGACGTTTCTATCAATCGTCTGACAAGATGGCAGTATCTGAATCAGCTGCGGGACCATTTTTGGAAAAGGTGGTCTCGAGAGTACCTGTCAACACTCCAATCAAGAGCAAAGTGGACCAAGAAACAACCCAATATCGACGTCGACACATTTGTTCTATTGGCAGAGGACAACCAACCAGTACATGGAAACTAGGAAAAATCATCGCAGTTCACCCAGGGAAGGACGTGCGAGTTGCTGATATACATACAACAACTAGAGTTTATCGTCGAGCAGTAAGCAAGTTAGCCCCGTTGCCGCTACAGGATAACCACCAGAATCTTCAGTTAGAATTGGAATTGCATTCCAACGGGGGCAGAATGTACGAGACGAAGACTTCCTACAACGATCCAAGTCAGCAACGTCTTTAGGAACAACAACTAGCAAACAACGTTGTTAGGTTAGCAACAGTAACAACGTCGTTAGTAACAGGCTTGTTTCGAATGTTCTCGAAGTAAGCCAAACTTGGTATAAATATGGGGGGACCCCTAAACCAAGGATGATCAGAATAAAATTGGAAGTCAACCAGTGAAAAACAAAGAATTAAAGAATAGAATAAATAATAACTAGTTCATATCAGCAGTACGTGAATTGTTTGGATTATCCCTGCCTACCCTGCCCTGGAGTTGGTACCCGGTGGTGAACCTTGTGCTGTCCGTAACTCCCAGTCCACCGTTCCGCCTATATCGTCGTTGTGTTCACGGCCGAATACAAAACAGTTCAAGTAGATCTAATACTGGTCATTTGCTAGTGACCCACGATAGTGAAGCGTACAATTTACAGTTGCTGCAGCAGGAACTACTCGTTGGGATGGTGGATTCCCCATAGTGCCACTATTTGAGGAGCATACATTGCTGGATTACGCCGAACTGGCGAGAAAGTTAAGATAGTATCCTACTAGAAGTCAATGATTTTTTGAGGTAGGACTACGTCTGTGATTCTATATGGGGGTACACTTTGTGAAAGCCGAAAGTGGAACGGGTAACGAAATTAGGAAAGATTTTGAACGTTTACAACTCAGCTGCCCCTGGACCAATTTCAATAATTTTATCATCAATCGACCAGAAATATTTCTACGCATCGATAGTAATGTTGCAATGTCCCAACTGTTGATTTTTAACAAGAAACTATTATAAACGTGGTAAATGTCAAGCATTGTCCAAAAGGCTCGAAATAATTAAGTTTTGGAGGCGAACCAGCCTCAGGCTGAAAGCCTCCTTAAAAAAGATAAATCAATCAATCAATCGAAATAATTAACAAATCCACCAATTACGTACATAAATATGCTGCTTCCCCAACACAGTCATCAGAGAATCGTTTCTAGACGAAACATGTCGATGTAGCATTGCTGCTTCCCCAACACAGTCAACAGAGAGTCGTTAGTAGACGAAACAAGTCGAAGTGGCATTCGCCTCGGATCTTCGGCCGTGTGCGAATAGGGAGGATGCAATTGCGTAACATTTTGCACACTCATCGCCATATTCAGAACCACACGTCCCAATGCCCACACAAAATGCTCTCCAGAGTTGTAATCTTGTAACCAAACTTGGAAGCAGGGGTGCAAGTGATTTTGATCGACTTTCTATTTCGTTAATAACTCGACGGCAAACACATTCTTACGTTTGTTGTTCTGGATGATAGAAGAGCATAGCAGAAATTCCGCATTCCGGAAGCGTGTGGAGGCCGTAACTTCAGATTTTCTTGCATCGTTCGACTAGTAGCTCCCGGATGCGGTTGATAATCATGTGAGTTTTTTTTCCGTGCCCTCGACTTCGCCCCGCAATCTTCCTTTACGATCTTCCGTGCCGTAAAGTCACTGATCCCGTGTTCCTTTGCCATTTTCCTTATTGAACGCACTGGATTCACCCGAATCTTCCTTTTGATAGCAGCGATAACCTTCGGAACCCGAGCTGACCTCGAACGACCTGTGGGCACCTTCGCGGATAGTTGTCCTTTCTTTTCTCGGTCTAAAACACTTTTGACGGTCCACCCGAGCAAATCTGAAGATCAAATTGAAATCAAAATTTGCTGTTATGATGTAATTTATTTTGAATACTCCAGTTGATCTCATTTTGGTTGACTTAACGGTTAACACAGCAAAAATAAGAGCAAAATTTTACACTGTTGAAGCAAACGGAAAACTAATCCTGCTTTCAATGAAATCAATTTAATTACTGATTTTGCATTCATAATGTTTAACTGAATACGGGCCTAGAGTAAATGGTTATCATTCATGTTTCTCAAGCTGAAAGACTTAGGCTCCAATCTCACCGCGAGCAAGTCACGAATGACCTAAAATGTGTTAAACAAATCAGATAAACGATAATCATTAGTTCAACGACAGATGAATTTCAATTAAATTTTAAACAAGACGTAAACAGCAGAACTTCAAGTTAAGTTGCTTTCATTTAAAACGTCTTGACTGCATAATGAATGCACAATATGATATCAGACTTATGTCGCAACATTTGAAATCAAAATGAGTTTTCATTATGATAGGAACTGCACACTTTAATATCGATTTACTTTCATTTTGTTAACCGACTTTGCTCGGGCACCGGGACACTCCCACGACGATTGAAATGTCACGAATACGCTGCCACTTCGTCATGGTGCTACTGTCAAACTAAGTAAATCATTTTCTTTTATACACAGCCTACTACGGTATGAGATATAGGTTGCGTGTATGAAAAGAAAACCTAGGCATTGTATGCACAGGTAAAACGGGAACCTTATTTGTACGATGGTGTAAACATTATCACGCATACGGTACATAGATTTCGTGCTTTTAGGTTTCGGATGATGATTGAGGATTGCGAAACACTCGCTTCGTTACCTTTATGTTCTATAGAAGCAATCAGATGACTCGTGCGACACGATGAAATAAAGAAGAAGTCTGTCAAGTTTGTCAAGAGGGTATATACATTTCAATATTGTGAAATAATAATTTATGCAATTCTCACAATAAAAAGAACACTTAGCTTGTTTGTGTTTTGCAAATATAAATCCAAAGCTAATTTGTATAAATTGATTCCAAAATATAGAATATTTTAACATACCACAACCGTTTCTGAAAGTTTACAGCAGTATTTCCGGACCGTGGAGCATGCTCACTGATCTCATATACGCGGTACACGATTTGAAAACCTAGGGCTTATAGAAGCAGTAATTAAACTATTCCAAAATTACCAAAAAGAGGATATGCCGTTACGATCTTGTCCAGAATATGGATTCTTAACGTTGTCCCACCAATCAGCTCGGTCTACATCACCTAATTCCTTTTATGTGATTTTCGTTCAGTGGGGGTTAGCGAATAAGAGCGTCGAAGGTTCCAAATACTAGAAATTATTCTCCACTTTTAGATAAACACATTCGGCGAGAAACTATGAGATGTGATTCTCGGGATGCTAAAGTAAGGTGCGAATGGTGTGGAAGGCCTCCACAACTTCTAATTCAGCTCCGATCAGCCAAAATTTCTTCAGTTAGTGTCACACTGTCAATAGCCTAATTTTCACCTATTGCACAATGATGGAATTCAAATCAACGAGGAACGGGTGGAAGATTCCCATGACTATCAGCTAGACAGAATTAGACCATAACGTGAAATGTTTGAGTGCTTGCAGCGTGGCATCATTGTTATCGAAATTGAAGCCATAATCGGGATAACATTCCCTCACTTCATGTAAGGCATTATAATGATTGAATTTCTGGATACTTTAAACATATTCGCTGAAAAATGCTAGACAATATTAGTTAAACAAACAAATATTTGTATAGCAACGGTGGTAACCTAGGTGTTAATAAACTAACGCTAAATATTCCTTAAGTATTGTTAAGTATTTCTAGGTATCTTAGATTTGTTTTGCCTTGACTTGTTTTCCGTGCTAAGCACCAATGCTACCGACGCCAAGGAGGCAGCTCCCACACCTGGAGCCTACCTATCGGCCCATCAACTCACGAACCGGGGACCAACGGCTTTACTTCCCTTCCGAAGGAAGGCGTGATCAGAGATGTTATGCCTCAGAACATCCCGGCGGTGCTGACTGGGATTGAAGCCAGGCCTGCTGGGATGAGAGTTAATCACGCTTACCACTACACCACCGGCGCCGCTTAGGTATCTTAGATATTGGTAAGGATCTTCAGTGTAGAACGCGAGAAATACAGAGTTTAGAGTGGGATGCTCCTAGCAGTCTGTGATGATCAGAAAGTTGACGATACTGATAAGTCAATTTTTACCGAAAAATCGGTAAGAAGGCCATGGTTTGGGAAGCGATATGTGAGTGCGGCCAGTTGTCAAAGCCATTTGTGACGAAGGAGACGATGAAAACTGAAATTTCGGTTCGGGAGTGTTTGAATCGGCGTCTGCGGCCCATGATCCGTCAAAATGATGGCCCAGAACTATTTTGGTCCGATTTGGTGTCAATGCACTACTCGAAAGACACGGTAGCTTGGTATAAAACTGGGATTTTTTTTAAAGAATTCGATCTTGGAACTTCGATAAGGAAACTCAGTAGTTACCCTGAATATTTATACTTTCTGGAGCACCCTACTTGATTAAATAATAAGCTATTTTAGACCAAATTTCAATATATTCTTCATATACCTATCGGTCGGAAACATTTGCTTAAATGACCCAACACCCTGCGCATAAATAACTCGTGATAGCATGCATAGTTTATTAAAACATAGGTATCCCATTTAAATATAACAAATCATAATATCCATTGCTAGCTGCGAGGTGGTCCTGTACGTACGCTCATGTTGCACTTCTTACGGACTAATTTCTATCAGTATTGCAGTCACCTAGGGAGAGGAAATCCATTCGATTATTGCCAGGAGGTCGGTTTCCATATTCGTTTCATTATGAACAAACACAAACGTAGGATCTATCGGTACTTTCACGGTACGTCACGTACGTTTTTGATGTCCGGCATACACGGAAAGAGCTAAATAGCTTACATCAAAAACACGTACCTATCGCCCATGTGCAAATGTGGACCCTTAACTGGTAACGTCAGCCATCAGCAAGTGACAAAATTTGACGACTTGATCATGAGCGTCAAAATAGCATTTGGCCACTTCGTAAGCCGTGTCGCAGGAATCTTCCAGCTCTAAAAAAATGTCGATCAACAAAGTTACATTTCATTTTAGCACATCGGGGGCCATAAATAAACTTACTAATGTGACCACATTCGTTGGTCAAGTGCTCTAGGGTTTCCTTGATGTCGGTAGTCAAGGCCAGTGGAGCCAATCGATCCAGTAGGATGCGTCCTGTGGCTTCGTCGATGACGTCGATCTTGTCGAAAAGGCAATAAATATAGCACTTGATTTCACGATCGTCGTGAAGGGTCCCATCCATGCACTGCTTGAGCTTGCTTTCCATTGCCCCCGATTCCGCCAGGCAGATGTTGTGCAGGATTTTGGCGGGTCGTTTGTAAGCCTCCGGAATTTCCAATTCGTCCTTGATTTTGCCGGCCTGTAAACGATCGAAACAATATGCTTGAGTGATGGCCGATAGATTGGATGTTGTCTTCTTGGAGCGTTTCCGTCCAATTTCATCCGAATAGGGTAAACGCTCCTAGAGTTGCGGTGCGTTAGAAGCATTAGGTTCCTATAGTTGCTTAGGGAGATTTCCAAACCCAACAGTAAAAGTATGGACGACTGAAACCAGCAAACGGAAAAAGTTGTTCCAATCGAGTAAAGTAGTGCATTTTGACATTTAGATTGGAAGAGCTTTGGGCAAACGTCCATACTTTTACCATAAGCAACTACAGGAGCGTTTACCGTATCGATTGATTTGTTGTTTGAATGTTTGCACAAATCATTCCACTCGACTCAACAAGATCAATTCACAGCGAGCTGGTAAGTAAATTGAATGAATGTCATTATCACTTCTCGTGTTCAGCAGCATGCGACCGCTATTTGTGGCGGGTGGAGAAGTTTTCCACTTTGATCATTCAATTAACTCTTCTCCATTCGTAATGCAGTGGAAGGTTGAAAATTTTGGATTCCCGTCAAAGTTAGAATCAACTTTGCCAATAGAGCAAATTGGGCAATTGATGAAAAGTTTGCGGATGTGCACCCGTAAAACTTTGCGCTCCCGAAATATAACTCAGTCGTACAAGTTTTGCTATGGCAGCGCTCTGTGACACTGGCCCTATAGAAATCGAGCAAGGAGAAGTAGAGACGTGACTGGATGGGAAGAGTTGCTGGTTATTGTGATGTTTTACTTATCATTCCTAAACTTACAATGATGATAAGATTTAAACACAGATTTACAGAATGCACACACAAGTTAATTGTTATTATTTTCATAGAACCAACAGATTTCAAGGAATTTACACATCTTGTTTACCGGCACCTTGTAAGGTGTCTTAATTCCTTGAAATCTGTTGGTTCTATGATAATTACCAAAATTCCGGGTTTATTTTAAAAATTGGAAAAACCGGGAGATGCTTATCGGGATTGGTTGGTCCCCATGGTGTTAACATATAGTGGAAATGTATGTAATGTCGGCCTAAGTGTCCCTAATTTGGACCCATACATAAATTCAGCAATCGACTAAATTTTCAATGGCAACCAAAAATATCCATTAGTACCGTCCCAATGACGCGTTCATCTAGATACAATTGATAAAAAGCAGATTTTTAGCGATGGGCCTAATCTTACATCCATAGGCCAACATTAGAGCCATTTCCCCTACTAAGCAAAGGATAAACGTGTACGTAATTTAAAAACAATTACAGTGATTATTGACAACAAAAACAAAATGAATGAAATGAGGCCTACATACTGCTGTCATGATTATTTGGGGTTGGTCAAACAATAAAAATGTTATTGACCCATGCACCGAATAATTAAAAGGTCACACATTCATAATTTATCACATGCCTAACCTAGAACGCCTACCCTCAGGACTCAATGCACAAATTTTTAATAAATACGTTCAAAAACATTTACTATCGTTTTTTTGTCGAACCTTTCCCGGTCCCAAAAACCCCTGCATTCAAATTTTTCACGCCGATCGGTTCAGTAGTTTCCGAGTTTATAAGGCTTAAACAGACAAACAGAAATTCATTTTTATGTATAGCGAAATGGATGTAATGTCGGCCTAAATGCCCCTAATTTGAGACCATACATAAATTCAGCAATCGATTAAATTTGTTTACCGTCCCCATGACGCGTTCATCTAGATAAAATTGATAAATAGCAGATTTTTAGCGATGGGCCCAATCTTAGATCCATACCCAAGTAACAAATCTAGAGCTGCTTGGCTATTTTCAAAATTTATAAAGGTTTTATTGCAGCTGCAACCATTACCTACAGCTTTATCACGGTCATATACAATGCAAGTCATGAAACATTCTTATAGCTATCTACAAAACCCCTATAAAGCTAATTAAAAAACCAACTGATGCTTATGCTATTTTCACTTATGAAAGGTTTTATGATTGCTTTGAAGTATACAATAAAGTAATATGAATTGCCCTTATAAAACCAAAAAATAAATAAGTAAGCGCAATAAAACTAGTTGGCCATGAAACAGTTATTTTAAAACAATTATAAGCATTCAGTTGCAACTTGTCAGAAATGTAAATAGGTGGTTTATTTTTACAACATAGAAAAGAATAAAAACTTTCCGGTACTTCCAAGCGGAGCGCAAAGAAAATCAACAAAATTGTTAGCATGAGCATGAAAACATTTCTTGTATACGTATACACGACGTAGTGTGCGTAAGAAAAACGTCAGCAATCTCCATGATTCTTCCGTTCTCGCTCGCATATACATGGGGTGACACGGTCGAATCTTGGTCGAAATACATGGAATGGTGACAGTCCTAGGGCAAAAAGGTTGAAATCACGCATAACTTTTCATAAAGGTTAATGTACCATTCAAAACTTTTCTAAATGTTGGTAAAATTCATCGGTTGCACCCGTAGAATAGGAATATACATTTGCCCTCAAATAAAAAAAATGAATTCAAGCTGAAAATTGCATTAGGTCCTAAGTAATATTGACAGATTCGCTTCGTCAACTTTCTCTTTGCATCCCCACGGTCATGTAAAGACATTCCCAGGTATTTTCAGCACATAAAACGATAAAAGAAGCTTTTATCTAGCATCCAATACGACAAACACATCAAGAAACGGTTATGTGAATAAGTTATTAACGAAAGAGAAAGTCGACGAAGAGAATCGATCAATGTTACTTAGGACCTAATGCAAAGTTCAGCTTGAATTGCTCTTGTAAAAAGAAAATAGTTCTCGTAATAAAATCATGCATTATGCTTTTCTGTTCTGCTTTCATCCCATGCACACTGGGCCAGGAATGCAACCTAGCGGAGCAAAATTAATAACTTCGAAAAGAAGCATTTCCGCGACTTGGTGTCATCGGCAAAATTTCTCGTCATAATAAGGACCATCTATTGACATAAACAAATAGTTCAAAACTCTTCCGCAAAGATGGTGCCACAATCTAACTTCTTTCTCTGACGATTTGGAGACTTGATGTCTTGGGCAAAGTTGTTTATCTTGACAAAATGAACAGCTCTTTCAAAGACTTTAAATTTCCACTGTCTACTGGTTCCAAGTTATATGGAGTTAAAGAAAAAAATGTCGAAAATATGGTTTTTTTCTGTTTCGGTTTTTTTGCTTACAGCTTTATAATGCTATATTTTTCTCTTATGCAAATACATTAAATAAATAGCTTTTGTGAAGAAACATACTGGATTAAGCTTCAAATTTCAAAGACATTGTTGAAAAAACGAGAAAAAAAAAACACAATTTTTGAACATTAATATCTCCTAAAGCGCAAAAAATCGTAACCTGACATTTTCAGCAAAAATTAAGCAATACTCGATAAACAAAATATCAAAATTTGAGAGAGGTATATTTTGGTGTTTTGTAGATTTCTTCATTTTAATGGAACATTATTTTTTCTATAACTTTTTTAATGCATTGAAATGGCGTTTTGAAGACTTGACGACTTTGGCAAAATTGTTTATCTTGATAAAATAAACAACTCTTCTTAAGACGTTAAAACTTCACAGCCTTCTGTTTTCGAGGTATATGCATTTAAACAATATATTTAAAATTAAAACACTTATTTTCACATTTTTTCTGTTATTTCACATAACTCGAAAACAGTAGGCTGTGAAGTTTTAACGTATTAAGAAAAGTTGTTTATTTTATCAAGATAACCAACTTTGACAAAGTCGTGAAGTCTTCGAAACACAAATTCAATGTATTAAAAAAAGTTATAGAAAAAAATCATGTTCCACTAAAATGAAGAAATCTAAAAAAAAAACACCAAAATATACCTCTCTCAAATTTTGATATTTTGTTTATCGAGTATTGCTTAATTTTTGCTGAAAATGTCAAAATTGTGTTTTTTTCTCGTTTTTTCAACAATGTCTTTGAAATTTGAAGCTTAATCTAGTATGTTTCTTCACAAAAGCTATTTATTTAATGTATTTGCATAAGAGAAAAATATAACATTATAAAGCTGTAAGCAAAAAAACCGAAATAGAAAAAAAAAACCATATTTTCGACATTTTTTTCTTTAACTCCATATAACTTGGAACCAGTAGACAGTGGAAATTTAACGTCTTTGAAAGAGCTGTTCATTTTGTCAAGATAAACAACTTTGCCAAAGACATCAAGTCTCCAAAACGTCAGAGAAAGAAGTTAGATTGTGGCACCATCTTTGCGGAAGAGTTTTGAACTATTTGTTTATGTCAATAGATGGTCCTTATTATGACGAGAAATTTTGCCGAAGATACCAAGTCGCGGAAATGCTTCGTTTCGGAGTTATTAATTTTGCTCCGCTAGGTTGCATTCCTGACCCAGTGTGCAATGTAAGCATTAGACATTTTAAGAAATTGCGCTTGGTGTTTGTCTTGCCTCCTGTCCTCTGTCGCCATATGGTCATTATGAAAATGCCATTAGCCTTGGAATAAAATCCAAGAAATTTCAATAAAATAATGGCTAAATAAGAGATCCGAAATGATTTCCAGTGTGCATTGGTATGAATTTATGTATTGAGATCTATTTTCTGTAAAATTAAGGTGATTCCATCAAATTCATTTGATCTCTGAAACAATCTCTTTTGTTAACTTGAATTATTTTGGAGGCGCATTTATTTAACGCTCATATTATCTGAATATACACGATAACATTTCAAGCGCATATGTTTTGGAACTTCTTAAAAGTAATATATTTTCTTTAAGATTTTCACTAATGTCGCCATGAAACTAAATTGATTGCATGGTGATCTTGACACCAACACTCAAACCTATTTTTAACGCTAAAGATTTCCATTTGGAAAAAAAGTTTCAGCAGAACAGAACAACAACAAGCTAATTTATGGCGGTTGCTTTGAAGCCAATACAAATTAAATTGGCTTTATAACTGATTTTCACCAAAGCGTAATAAAACTGCTTGGATACAATAGTAGTAACTCTTATAGAGGCTATGAG